ATGCTGCAGTCAGTACCTCTGTCACCCTGGTGATGCTGCAGTCAGTACCTCTGTCACCCTGGTGATGCTGCAGTCAGTACCTCTGTCACCCTGGTGATGCTGCAGTCAGTACCTCTGTCACCCTGGTGATGCTGCAGTCAGTACCTCTGTCACCCTGGTGATGCTGCAGTCAGTACCTCTGTCACCCTGGTGATGCTGCAGTCAGTACCTCTGTCACCCTGGTGATGCTGCAGTCAGTACCTCTGTCACCCTGGTGATGCTGCAGTCAGTACCTCTGTCACCCTGGTGATGCTGCAGTCAGTACCTCTGTCACCCTGGTGATGCTGCAGTCAGTACCTCTGTCACTCTGGTGATGCTACAGTCAGTATCTCTGTCACCCTGGTGATGCTACAGTCAGTACCTCTGTCACCCTGGTGATGCTGCAGTCAGTACCTCTGTCACCCTGGTGATGCTGCAGTTAGTACCTCTGTCACCCTGGTGATGCTGCAGTCAGTATCTCTGTCACCCTGGTGATGCTACAGTCAGTACCTCTGTCACCCTGGTGATGCTGCAGTCAGTACCTCTGTCACCCTGGTGATGCTACAGTCAGTATCTCTGTCACCCTGGTGATGCTACAGTCAGTACCTCTGTCACCCTGGTGATGCTGCAGTCAGTACCTCTGTCACCCTGGTGATGCTGCAGTTAGTACCTCTGTCACCCTGGTGATGCTGCAGTCAGTACCTCTGTCACCCTGGTGATGCTACAGTCAGTATCTCTGTCACCCTGGTGATGCTACAGTCAGTACCTCTGTCACCCTGGTGATGCTGCAGTCAGTACCTCTGTCACCCTGGTGATGCTGCAGTCAGTATCTCTGTCACCCTGGTGATGCTGCAGTCAGTATCTCTGTCACCCTGGTGATGCTACAGTCAGTACCTCTGTCACCCTGGTGATGCTGCAGTCAGTACCTCTGTCACCCTGGTGATGCTGCAGTCAGTATCTCTGTCACCCTGGTGATGCTGCAGTCAGTATCTCTGTCACCCTGGTGATGCTGCAGTCAGTATCTCTGTCACCCTGGTGATGCTGCAGTCAGTACCTCTGTCACCCTGGTGATGCTGCAGTCAGTATCTCTGTCACCCTGGTGATGCTGCAGTCAGTACCTCTGTCACCCTGGTGATGCTGCAGTCAGTACCTCTGTCACCCTGGTGATGCTGCAGTCAGTATCTGTCACCCTGGCGACGCTGTAGTCAGTACCTCTGTCACCCTGGTGATGCTGCAGTCAGTACCTCTGTCACCCTGGTGATGCTGCAGTCAGTACCTCTGTCACCCTGGTGATGCTGCAGTCAGTACCTCTGTCACCCTGGTGATGCTGCAGTCAGTACCTCGGTCACCCTGGTGATGCTGCAGTCAGTATCTCTGTCACCCTGGTGATGCTGTAGTCAGTACCTCTGTCACCCTGGTGATGCTGCAGTCAGTACCTCTGTCACCCTGGTGATGCTGCAGTCAGTACCTCTGTCACCCTGGTGATGCTGCAGTCAGTATCTCTGTCACCCTGGTGATGCTGTAGTCAGTACCTCTGTCACCCTGGTGATGCTGCAGTCAGTACCTCTGTCACCCTGGTGATGCTGCAGTCAGTACCTCTGTCACCCTGGTGATGCTGCAGTCAGTACCTCTGTCACCCTGGTGATGCTGCAGTCAGTACCTCTGTCACCCTGGTGATGCTGCAGTCAGTACCTCTGTCACCCTGGTGATGCTGCAGTCAGTACCTCTGTCACCCTGGTGGTGCTGCAGTCAGTACCTCTGTCACCCTGGTGATGCTGCAGTCAGTATCTCTGTCACCCTGGTGATGCTGTAGTCAGTACCTCTGTCACCCTGGTGATGCTGCAGTCAGTACCTCTGTCACCCTGGTGATGCTGCAGTCAGTACCTCTGTCACCCTGGTGATGCTGCAGTCAGTACCTCTGTCACCCTGGTGATGCTGCAGTCAGTACCTCTGTCACCCTGGTGATGCTGCAGTCAGTATCTCTGTCACCCTGGTGATGCTGCAGTCAGTACCTCTGTCACCCTGGTGATGCTGTAGTCAGTACCTCTGTCACCCTGGTGATGCTGCAGTCAGTACCTCTGTCACCCTGGTGATGCTGCAGTCAGTACCTCTGTCACCCTGGTGATGCTGCAGTCACTACCTCTGTCACCCTGGTGATGCTGCAGTCAGTACCTCTGTCACCCTGGTGATGCTGTAGTCAGTACCTCTGTCACCCTGGTGATGCTCTGATAAGATTACAAGGTACGGGAGCTAGTCAGTCACCCCGTCATGACATTACGGGTGGGTATGGTGTACAAGACTCGACACTATGCACGAGTACGCAAGGTTGGTAGCATCATGTGTCCATGATGCTTGTTCCCTTAAAGGACTAGTCAACACAACTAAATAACAGCACAGGTTATGTCTATGTTATTATTATGATAATCCAAAAGCTAATCACCAGAGTGCTACAAATGAGGGTAAATCATGTGGGCCAATCCGACACATTTACTCTAGTATCCATTATATAACAAGGTGGAAGTACGAGAGTTACCCTCCGCACACGGCTTCCCATCCGTTTTCTATGATAGGCATCGTAACTTCTGCTCCCTATGGTAAACTTCGTCAGAAATTTGCTAGACAAGAACGTCACACAATTCAATATATAAGGTAATTATTTGATGTTACGCATATGTATAGGAAATAATATTGAAAAGTTCTTTTCAAACAAAAAAGGCAAATAACACATCTGAAGACACGGAACATGGCAAAGTCCCCCCAAGTACTCCTGACACTTCTGCTTCCCCGGAGTCGTAGACAGTAGATAACCCCCCCCCCCAAGACCATCTACTAACTTTTTCCCAGGATGCCTCTCGCAACACGCCTAACTCCCAGGGGTACCTATTTACTGTTAGATGAAGCATCAGGTGAATGGAAACGTTGCAAAATGCTACACTGTCGTAACGCGAGGACTGAACTAGTAAGCTCTGGGCTGTGACTGGCAGAGTGTACCACAGAAATACACTAAACTGTTGACCTCTCACGTCTCTTTACTCTCCTAACCAGTCCACACAGGCTTTTACCAGAGCATGATAGTCTCATGTGCAGGAATTCAGTACTAATAAAAACTTGAGAAACTATATTCAATACAAACATTTCACTTGTTACACTTTTAACTAGTTTACAGAGCCCAGGAGCTTCTGACTTGTCTCAAGGGCCAAGAGCTCTCCTTCCCACGGCTCCATTCAAGACGTTACCGTGCTTGTTCCCTTGCGTAGCTTGACAGCGCTGCTGCACCTGTGTGTGTGTGTCCCCCGACGGTACACGCTGTGACTTGAGGACCAGCGGTCTTCATGCTAGTGGCAACATGTATTTTTACCACTGTGAAATGTCTACACTCCAGTCTGGTGAAGCGGTCTCTATACTCCAGTCTGGTGAAGCGGTCTCTATACTCCAGTCTGGTGAAGCGGTCTCTATACTCCAGTCTGGTGAAGCGGTCTCTATACTCCAGTCTGGTGAAGCGGTCTCTATACTCCAGTCTGGTGAAGCGGTCTCTATACTCCTCTGGTGAAGCGGTCTCTATACTCCAGTCTGGTGAAGCGGTCTCTATACTCCAGTCTGGTGAAGCGGTCTCTATACTCCAGTCTGGTGAAGCGGTCTCTATACTCCAGTCTGGTGAAGCGGTCTCTATACTCCAGTCTGGTGAAGCGGTCTCTATACTCCAGTCTGGTGAAGCGGTCTCTATACTCCAGTCTGGTGAAGCGGTCTCTATACTCCAGTCTGGTGAAGCGGTCTCTATACTCCAGTCTGGTGAAGCGGTCTCTATACTCCAGTCAAATTGACTCACCTGCAGTCTTGTGAAGTGGCCGGGATACTCCAGTCCAAGTGACTCACCTGCATGGTGTGTGTGTCTGGCCTCTACACTTACCTTCTCACTTATATATTAACACGCCGTTGTTCCGGCACGATCATACTTAACAGCCTACACAAGATATATATATTATTGTATTAGCACTGAAGCATAACTAACCACGCTTCCTAAATTTAAAATGGTCTCAATGCACTTGACTAGTGACCAATAGAGTATGTTTTGTTAAGATCATGAGTACTGCCAGTACTTATTAAGTCATCACTCGACTAAAGCTATATCATTTACCAGTTACCATGTGAAGCACCAGAGTGCCACCAGCGCTCACGGGGAGGTGAGCACTCGAGCACAACACTGAGTCAAGAACCATGAACTTGTAAGTTAATATGACCAGCCAGCCGAAAAGAAAGTTTTAACATTAAAGTTAATTTTATTTTATTTAAGAAGCGTGGCTGTTGTGTTCAGCTTTCCCTGGAGTGAGAGTGGGCCTGGGGCCGCCGCCCCCGGCCCACTCCCCCACACTACCCACCACCACACATCCCCAGGGGGCTACACAACCCACCACCACACATCCCCAGGGGGCTACACTACCCACCACCACACATCCCCAGGGGCTACACAACCCACCACCACACATCCCCAGGGGGATACACTACCCACCACCACACATCCCCAGGGGCTACACTACCCACCACCACACATCCCCAGGGGCTACACTACCCACCACCACACATCCCCAGGGGCTACACTACCCACCACCACACATTCCCAGGGGCTACACAACCCACCACCACACATCCCCAGGGGGCTACACTACCCACCACCACACATCCCCAGGGGCTACACTCAAACGCATTACAGTTTGGCAATGAAAACTGATCCATTTTCGTTAAAACAATGATTCTGAAGGAGTAGATCAAGCGGATCAGAACCTGTACATGGAAGTTGTGTTCTGACAGCGTCAGACAGTTATCGTCAGGCGCGACAACGAACACTTCACTCTCTTTCATAGTATTATTTTAATCATCAAATGCGCGTAGTTTACCCACTGTGGCATTATGGCGGGAACGGTGGTAATGGGTCTGCAAAATGAGGTTGTGAGGCCCAGGAGGTGCAAGAGGACTTGTGTACTCACCTTCTCGCCAGCAGTACTCGATCTCGTCTCGGGCGGCCGTGGTGGAGCCGTGAGTGTGGCCGATGGTGTGGGCGTGAGTGTGGGCGGCCACGTCCCTCACGCCCTGACTCCACGACCGCCGCCAGTTGCGAGGACGCCAACGTTTCGAACGCTGACGCATGCGTACCCTGCGGGAGTAGAGGAAGTGGTGAGAAGTGGTCCCTCACCGCACGGCAGGTCCGTCCTGCAGGTGGTGCTGGCACGTGTTACCTGGAGGAGGGTGAGGTGCGGGGGGGGATCAAAGAGCTACACGTGAAGCAGAACCAATTAAGCGGAGAAAGTGAGGAGACGAGGTGTAATTAAGAAGCACCAGCTGAGAAGAAAGTGATCTAAAGAAAGTAGTACTCTCACACTGCCCTTCACACTGACCTCATACGATCCTCACACTGTCCTCATACTGCCTCACACTTCACAATGAACGTAGTGGTGGGAGGACACAAAGGCTACTGCAACTCTTAACAACAAAGAAATATCTAAGAAATTATGAAGTTAGACAAATTCATAACAGAGCATGCGCCTTAAACCCCAAATGTCAATCCTGCCTTGCAAGAACTTCAATATATTGTTTACCGACTTGCCTGTCTGCCTGCCTATCCACACACAGTAACCCTCCTGCCTGCCTGCCTATCCACACACAGTAACCCTCCTGCCTGCCTGCCTATCCACACACAGTAACCCTCCTGCCTGCCTGCCTATCCACACACAGTAACCCTCCTGCCTGCCTGCCTATCCACACACAGTAACCCTCCTGCCTGCCTGCCTATCCACACACAGTAACCCTCCTGCCTGCCTGCCTATCCACACACAGTAACCCTCCTGCCTGCCTGCCTATCCACACACAGTAACCCTCCTGCCTGCCTGCCTATCCACACACAGTAACCCTCCTGCCTGCCTCTATCCACACACAGTAACCCTCCTGCCTGCCTCTATCCACACACAGTAACCCTCCTGTCTGCCTGCCTATCCACACACAGTAACCCTCCTGCCTGCCTGCCTATCCACACACAGTAACCCCCCTGCCTGCCTATCCACACACAGTAACCCTCCTGCCTGCCTGCCTATCCACACACAGTAACCCTCCTGCCTGCCTGCCTATCCACACACAGTAACCCTCCTGCCTGCCTGCCTATCCACACACAGTAACCCTCCTGCCTGCCTGCCTATCCACACACAGTAACCCTCCTGCCTGCCTGCCTATCCACACACAGTAACCCTCCTGCTTGCCTGCCTATCCACACACAGTAACCCTCCTATCCACTCATAAAAATGTAATCATAAATTATCATAATTATTGTATTCTTAATTTTCCTGCATTTTAAGTCAATATGAAACATTAAAATCCTCATTAACTCCACTCTGATGCTTGGTCCACACAATACATCAAGTGTCTTTAATCCAGTTTACAAGAACAACTTCCTGCTTACAGAAATACAACATATTATTGACACTTTCAGTATATTGGTCACACCAATTGTTGTCCTTAATGCCCAACATCAACAACCAGTCATTAGGAAGGTCTCATGAATATAACGACACAATAGTTCACGTTGTTTGGGAACAATACATTTAACATGAAGGTCTGTCCATATTACTGGCCAGGTATATCGTGGACATGTCTCCTCTACTCTAGGAGCTGTGCTGTATGTGGGACCAGAACATACATACACGTGTTTACTGTTCATCATTAAAATACCTTCAACATTACAAATCCGTCTGAGAACATTAATTGCACAAGAATAAAAGTGTGGTGAAATAAAGGCAAGGTCAGTATACTCTGGCATATTTATCAAGTGGCTAACACATATTTTACAAAAGCAATGTCCTAACGCATTTATGTTATTCCTTTGCATTATTTCCTTTCTAAAGGTAACACATAAGATAGCCAATGACTTATGGTACACATTCAGTCTCCCTATCCCACCGTCTTTCTTACTTTTATATATATATATATATATATATATATATATATATATATATATATATATATATATATATATATATATATATATATATATATATACTGTAATCCGGTTAATTGGTTAGTACCTACCATACTATATATCTAAAAATATTATTTTCAATCTCCATAGCAATTTTCTTATCAATTGGAAAACTGTGAGACAAATACCACAATTTAGACAAAATTCTACAAGTGATTATTACAGCCTTCTGAACCACAATTAACTTCCTATTTGATAACATGTTCGTAGCTACTATTATTCTACACAGTACTTGCTAAGTCCTAACCAACGGTGTTCCACGTGTTTGACACCAACAAACCCCGAGAGCCTTGTAACACTTGACTACCATGAACCATGAACCTGTCCACGTAACTTTATTACACTAACTTCCAAGCCCTCATACACGTTTTGTTCTTGTTACCTGCAACAAGAACAGCCCTTGTTGACCTCTCAACGGTGTCTAACTCATCCTGAACATTCACCATTCGGTGAACATTCACCAACATTCGGTGAACATTCACCAACATTCGGTGAACATTCACCAACATTCGGTGAACATTCACCAACATTTGGTGTCTAACATTCATCCTGAACAACATTTTTTGTGTCTTCCGTCGACACAAAAATAGCGGTATCTCCTGCATATCCAACAACAGGAAGTGTCATAGCATTGGGAAGACAAGGTGGAACAACAGTCATTGCTTTTTATTGCAAGGTATAGTGGGCCTTGAAAGATAACAAAATTGAAAGATAACGTCAGGGATGTCCCCATTGAAAGGGGACATCACTGACGAACAGACCGTTCAATTGAAAAAGGGTTTACTCCCTCCCACCCGACCTCTCACAAATTACGTCGCTTTTCGCTCGTATGCACTACGGCCAAATATCCACGTCACTCAAAATGGGAATTTATTTTCCAATTCAATTTGTTAATTTGTTTTCCAAAACAGTAAGTTAAGGGTCCTCTGGTAGGTTAGGAGAGCAGGAAGTTTTCCTAAGGTTTCAAAACGTCATTTAAACCGTTAATTAAACGTTTCCTCACAGATTAGCCAGAGGACCCAAAATAGAAAACGGGGCAGTACGTCACTTTTCGTGAGCCGATTTCATTTTGAATTACGTCGAATTTTTTTGCCTGAATGCGTATACGAACTTTAAGCGACGTAACTGATAACAGGACGGGTTGATGGATACTCCGACAATGTTTATAAAGTATACGGATCCAATCAATAAATTATTGTGCCACACCTGGTGGAGGAGGAGGCCTGGTCGAGGACCGGGCCGCGGGGACGCTAAGCCCCCGAAATCATCTCAAGATACACCTGCCCAATCCAATATTTCTAATACAAACTGAACATCCACAATCAAATGCTTTGGACCAGTCGAGGTTTATCACGAAGGAAGGAACATTATACACACCTGTCCCACCTCTCTTCCCCCTCAATCTAGTCTAACAGTTCTGCTGTATGTATGTATGTATGTATGTATGTATGTATGTATGTATGTATATATATATATATATATATATATATATACACACACACACACACACACACACACACACACACACACACACACACACACACACACACACACACACACACACACACGAAAACGATAACAAATGCAGTGTTCCCACAGGACTATTATGTTATGAGGAAAGAGAGGGAAGGAAGAGGTGGGGGTGGTGTAGCTCTGCTGGTAAGACAAGGCTGGGATTTTGAGGAGATGGATATTCAGGGCTGCGAAGGTTTCAGTGACTACATAGCAGGTACTGTAACAAATGGAGGGAAAAAAATTATAGTCGCAGTCATATATAATCCACCACCAAATGACAGAAGACCTAGACAGGAATATGATAGAAACAACATGGCCACCATTAACATAATAGAAAGAGCAGCTTCTGTTGCTAGCAGGAATGGATCTGGACTACTAATTATGGGAGACTTCAACCATGGGAAGATAGATTGGAAGAACAGAGACCCGCATGGAGGACCAGAAACATGGAGAGCTAAGCTGCTGGACGTGGCAACAAGAAACTTTCTAAGCCAGCACACCAAAGAACCAACAAGAATGAGAGAAGATGAACCAGCAATGCTTGATTTGATATTTACCCTAAATGAATGGGATATAAGGGAAGTTAAGATGGAAGCGCCCTTGGGAATGAGTGATCACAGTGTATTGAACTTTGAGTACCTGGTAGAGCTAGGACTTATCTCCCCCCAAAAAGAACTAGGAATCAAAAGGCTGGCATACCGAAAGGGGAATTATGAACAGATGAGAAGTTTCCTAAGTGAAATACCTTGGGACACAGACCTCAGAGATAAGTCTGTACAGGGTATGATGGACTATGTTACCCAAAAGTGTCAGGAGGCAGTAAACAGGTTCATCCCGGCCCAAAGAGAAAAATCCGAGAAGCAACAGAAGAATCCATGGTATAATAGGGCATGTATGGAAGCGAAGAAACTGAACAAAAAGGCGTGGAGGAACTTCCGGAATAACAGAACACCAGAAAGCAGAGAGAGATACCAGAGAACCAGGAATGAGTACGTCAGGGTGAGAAGAGAAGCAGAGAAAAATTTTGAAAATGATATAGCAAACAAAGCCAAGACCGAACCAAAGCTACTCCACAGTCACATCAGAAGGAAAACAACAGTGAAAGAACAGGTATTGAAACTTAGAACAGGCGAGGACAGGTATACAGAGAATGACAGAGAGGTGTGTGAGGAACTTAACAAGAGGTTCCAGGAGGTCTTCACAATAGAACAGGGTGAGGTCACTGTGCTAGGAGAAAGGGAGGTAAACCAGGCGGCCTTGGAGGAGTTCGAAATTACGAGAGAGGAGGTCAAGAGACACCTGCTGGATCTGGATGTTAGAAAGGCTGTTGGTCCAGATGGGATCTCACCATGGGTACTGAAAGAGTGTGCAGAGGCACTTTGCCTGCCACTCTCCATAGTGTATAGTAAGTCACTAGAGACGGGAGACCTACCAGAAATATGGAAGACGGCGAATGTGGTCCCAATATACAAAAAGGGCGACAGACAAGAGGCACTGAACTACAGGCCAGTGTCCTTGACTTGTATACCATGCAAGGTGATGGAGAAGATCGTGAGAAAAAACCTGGTAACACATCTGGAGAGAAGGGACTTCGTGACAAATCGCCAACGTGG